GCCCCGCGCCAGCTGCCGGCCGGCCCAGGGGGTTCCCGCCGCCGGCTCTCGCGGGCACTTTCGGGGCACCGAGAAGGCTGAACTGACCGAGACCGGTCCGCAGACCCGCCGCGAGCGGTCCTTGGCGGAGGGGTTTCCGTCGATCTTTCAGACTCCCGGCCCTGAGAAGTAGCCGCTTAGTAGCGGCGTCCGGCGGCTCTTCGCCCGCCCGGAGGAGCCGGGCGGTGCTCGGGGGGCCCGGCGGTGCGCTCCGCCTCCCAGTGCGGGTCTCCGGGAAGGGCGCGGAGCGAGGCGGGCAGGACCGCGGGCCGTGCCGTGAGGAGGGAAAATAACCCCGGCAGAAGCGGCCGCCGCGTTCCGGGTACAAAGAGAACAGTAATAAAATGGCATCTTTTAAAGTTGTTTTTTAATTTTAAAGAGAATAAAAAATAATGAAAAAAATTAGAAACGATGCCCAATTTCACTAAACCAGATGATAGCAATTCAGCGATGGTTGTTATATTGCATATTGTTGTCTTCAAATTAGTTGTTCACATTACCAGATGTAAGCATGCAAAGTTGGTATAAAAAAAAAATTTAAAAGAAGAAAAAAAAATTTAAGCGTTCACTGTTTCTTTCAGTAGACCAGAAGAAACCAGCAGTTAAAATGGCATCTTAATCCCCATGTAGGTTATAAGCGTAGGTATCTGAAAAGTCTGTGGAAGGGACCTCTTTAGGAACCCTTGGATGAAGCATTAACAAACCAGTGTGAATGTCATTCTTTGTGCGCTCTGTGAATTTAGATACGAGGTTTGTGTCAGGCATTATGTTAGGGTGAGAGGTAATTTACTAAGCGCCTGTTAACTAATCAGAAGCATCACTTTATAAGCTGAGGAATCAGTGGTGTTGCCAGGAAACTGGGTTTTCACTTCCTTGGTTCTCTGTTCTTCTTGCCCTTCATGAAAGAGTTCTGTCAAGACACGTGGGCTGTGCAGAAGCGTAGGTGGAATTTATTGTAAAGTAGATACGGAGAGAGTTACACCTTCAAGCAAAAAGATGGGCAGCGCCGCGAAGGCATCTGCACCAAGCTTGGGTTTGGGTGCATTTTTGAGCAGAGTTGCTCTTGGGGTCTGGGAGCTGGGGTAGTTATGATGCTCGTCAGCATTTTACCTGCAAGTTACTTAGGAATTGTTTGAAGGCAGTCTGAATTAGTAACTTCCCCCGAGGATTTTCTCCTGCACTGAACTCACTGTGCTTTTGAGAAAATTATCACTACGCTGTAGCAGCAAATACTGGGGCCAGCCAGCAGGAGGATGGACCTTTCCGTGTATCGAGTTATCTAAACTGCCACCGATAATAGCAAGGTCGTGTCTCTGGGAAGGCCTCCGCAGTGGCTGGGGTGGATCCGGCCTTGCACGCAGTGTGACACTGGTGGTTAGTGGCATGTTTAAGGGGAGGCCAAGCAGCCGAGAGTGACGACACAGCCATAAACACCGAGGTTAGGAATAGGATGCACTGACTTACAGGAGTCAGTGGGGTCATGAGTCCAGGAAAGCTGGGATAATGAGAAAATATGTTGCTGTTGTGAGTTTAATTGTATCCTTCCCCAAAAGAGACTTTGAAGTCCTAATTTCCAGTACCTTAGACGGTCATCTTATTTGGACATAGGATCTTTGCTGAACTAATTAAGGTCATATTGGGGTAAAGTGGACCGGTGATCCAGCATGACTGGTATCCCTATAAGAAGGCAGCCGTGGATAGACACAAAGAGACAGAAACGTCATATAAAGGCAGGGATAGATACTGGAGTGGTGTAGCCACAAGCCAGACAGAGGAGAGGGCAATATGAAGACAAAGGCACTTGGGAGGCTGAAGCAGGAGGATCGCGGCACGTTTGAGGCCAGCCTGGACTACAGAGCAAGACTGTGCCTCAAAAGAAGAAGAAGGAAGAGGAGGAACAAGAGGAGGAGGAAGAAGAGAAGGAGAAGATGACAAAGGCAGAGATTGAAGAAGAGGTCACAACCAAGGACACTAACAACCATCAGGGTCTAGAAAGCGCTAGGAATGCACTCTCTTCTCGAGCCTTTGGTGGAAAGACAGCCCCTTTGAAACCTTGATGTCAGACTTCTGGCCTATAGAACTGTGAAAAAATACATTTTTGTTGTTTTAAGCTACCTCGTTTGTGATAATTTGTGACTGAAGCCACAGGAAACTGTAGAAATGGCAATAAATAGCATTGACAAGGATGTGCAGAAATTGAAATCTCCCTAGATTGCTGGTGGGAATGTTAAACGGTGAAACTCCTTTGGAAAAAAGTTTGACACATCCTTACAATGTCAGAAATGGAGTGACCGTATGACCCAGCAATCTCACACCTATCTATATGCCCAAGGTAAATGAGTACATACATTAAAAATTGTACACAAACGTTCATAGCAAAAAGCGGTTATAGTACAAATGCATATTAACGGAGGAGGCGATAAATATGTTGGGTCCATAAAAAGCATGGTATAATCTATGCTACAACATGGATGAACCTTGAAAAGGTGCCAGGTGAAAGAAGTCAGTCAAAGATCGTATGTTGTGTGACTGCCTGCACATGAAATGTCAAGAGTAGGCAGATCTACAGATCCAAGTTGACTAGTGATTACCTAGGGCGGGAGAGGGGAGAGGGGGAGTGACTGCTAATGCGTATACGATTTTTTTATAGTAATGAAAATGTACTAAAATTAAGTAGGAAGAATGGGTTCACAACCCTAAAAACCATTGCACTTTACGCTTTACAAGAGTTAATTTTACTGTTACCGAGACAGAGACTCGGACAGAAATCTCTGTTAACTACAGTTAGGCGTTCCTTCTTCTCCATTCAGCCAGCCTTCGATGTCGTTGAGTGCCGAGTCCGCTTCTAATCTCTAGTAAGAAGGTGGTGGTTAACCAGCCAGGCCACTTGCCATTCCCTGAGAGCTTGCCTTCTATCAAGTAGGGAAAAAAGGAAGATGATCAAACGTGAGATCCCACTGAGCAGTGATTACTGTCCCTAGGCTGAGTTACACGCATAAAGTCAGAGTGAGCACCAGCAACTCGGTAGATAGTTTTCAGCTAACTGGCCTCACTGTATTTCTCTTTAGTTCTTCTCTTTCTCTTTTCTCTTGTTTTCCCACCCTCACAGCAAAAACTTGCAAAAGGACCAGGAGAGTGTCCTGTGGCTTTTTGTTTTGTTTTGTTCTGTGTTTGTTTCTTGAGACAGGGTCTCACGGTGTAGTTCAGGCTGGCCTTGAATTGACTGTGTAGCCCAAGCGGGCATCAGACTCACAGCAAGCCTTCCTGCCTCACCCTCCCAGGTGCCTGGAATGCGGGCGTCTCCACCATGTCCGGCTTGTATGTCGCACCACCCGCTGAGCCCACTATAATTCTCACTGATGCCATGGAGGGGCCGTGCCCTTGGACACTTACAGCCTGGCAATTGTGCCAGCCTTTTGAGAAAGAGACGTGTTTGCTTTTGCTTGTAACCCAGCGCTGCTGTGCTTCCCCTGCTGTAGGGAAGACTTTTCAGATCTCCTAGAAAAACTAGCCGGATGGTGGCCCACGCACAGATCCCGGCACTCTGGGAGGCTGAGTCAGGAGCGCAAGTTCAAGCCCCAGCAGGGGCAATTTGAGGGACTTAGTAAAAGCCCATGTCAAAATTCAGAACAAAAAATTTTTTTTGAGAAAGAACTGATGATGTATCCCTGTGTGAAGGCCCTGAGTCAGTCCCCAGGGGAGGAAATAGAAAGAGGGAGGGACAGGCAGACTGACCTTATCTGGCATGTACTCTAGCATTTCCATGCCACATTTGAAGTTTTTATCAAGGGTGCAAAGGGTGCGTTGGTGAAGAGTGGGCAGTGTCAGCCTGGGTAGAGAATTAGTTGTCTTCCCAAAGTTTCTTCGACTTTGTGACTTGTGACAATCCCTGCTCCCTCCTAGAAGGTCTGGTTGCCCTTTCTGGGTTTCTTCTAGCGATTAGTTTTGTAGTTTGACGAGTCATTCTTTGTTCTGTTTGTAGATGAGGTGCAGTGTATCCACGCTGAGAAAAACAACAAGGGTCCCATGGAGGCTGCCTCGCTTTTTCTCAAGCTGCTGTTGGAGGTCCAGGTGGAAGGCTGGTTCCGTGGCTTTTTGGATGCCCTAAACCACGCAGGTGAGTTCGTTCTTCTTACCCACAGAGTATATTACTTTGAAGCGTCAGAATGCTGGTACCTAGAGTTGAACTCAGGACCTTGCGCTTGCCAGGTAGGCCCTTGTGCTGTTGAGCTATATTCCCCGCCCTGATCTATATATTTAATGCAATTTTAATAAAAGTCCTATATGCCTTTTCAGTGAGTTTGGAAAGCTAAAGAATTATAACCTAAAAATAATCAGAAGCATCCCTTTTAGATATTAATATTTAATATAAAACTGGGTGTGAGGCATGTTCTGATAGTCCTAGATACTTGGGAGGCTGAGACAGAAGGCTTACAAGTTAGAGGCCAGCCTAGGCGGCATAGTAAGACCACACACACACACACACACACACACACACACACACACACACACACACACAAAACTCCTAGCATTGAGACAGTGCAGTGTTCGTCCTGATATCACCACACTGACAGTGGAGTAGAGTAGGGAGCCCCCACTTAGACACATATTTATGGAAACCTGATGTTTTAGAGAATCACTGGGAAATGAGGAGCTGCTCAGTACGTAGCAGTGGGCTATTACAGGTGTGATAATGCGAACAACCGAATAAACCCTAACTTGCGTATCCACGTGCATAGAAGTAAGTTTATATTCCTGTCTCATTCCACACACAGTGAGTTCAGAAGAATTTAAAGACTTCATGAAAACAGGCAATTTTTAGGCAATTTTAAAAATCAATATAGAATAGTATTGTTCTGATATTAGAGCATGATAGGATTTATAAAATAAGACATGAAAACATGTAACCATTAAAGAAAACTGGATAAATTTGGTAACATTAAAATTAGCATCTGTTTATCGGAAAACATTACAAAGAAATTGAAAAAAACAAGTCACAAAGTGGGAGGGCATATTTGTAAAATGTACAGTCATCATGGGAGTAATACGCAGAATAAATTAAAAAGGTTTTTACGTCAGCTGGAAAGAAAGAAAACAGCTGCTGAGCAAAAGGTGTGAACAGATGCTTCATAAAATAAGATTCGTGAAAGGCAAATAAACATGGGAAATATTTTCAGCCTAATTGGCAGTTAGGCAGCTATAAGTTAGAAACCTAGTGAGACAGCGTCTTACACCCACCACTTAAGAAGTTCAGCGGTGTTAAAGCTTAGGAGAATATTTGGTCATGGAAAGCCTTAAATGTTACTATATAGAATGTAAATTGACAACTCTTTTGAAAAATAATTTGACATCATATTATAGAATTCAACTCCCAGGTATCCTTTCCAGGTTTCACTCTTGAGTTTGTACCTTAGAAAAACTCTCATACATTTCACAATATATAAATAAGAATGTTCATAGTATAATTGTTTATAATAGTACAACAAGGAACAAGTAAAACAGAAGCAATTCCAAAAGAGGAGAATAAGTTTTGTAAGGTTCACGGGATGGTCCATGTATTGCAATGCAAGTATGTGAATATCTAGCCAGGTGTGGTGAAGCATGCCCGGAATCCCAGCACTCAGGAGGCTGTGGCAGGTGGATCACTGCAAGTTTTAGGACAGTCTAGGCTACGTAGTGAGTTCAAGGCCAGCCTGGACTACACAGCGAGACCTCCATCTCAAAAACAAGAAAGTGTGTGAATAGCTATGGGCAACAACTCAGGTAAATCTTGGAAATGCAATATTAAATTTTTTAAAAGTCAGAGAAACACATATCGTATTATATAAAATAAAATCCCAAACAAGCTAAACTAATCGTACACTGTTTAGAGAAGCAAATATACCATGCAACTACGATCTTAAAGAAAAAGTCAAACGAGTGATAAATCACATATGGGTAGTGGTGTGTTTGGCCGCAAGCTAGGGATAAGAAAAAGAATGCGTACACAAGTGTTCAGATACAGTAGTTCTCACGAAGAGTGAGTTCACATGTGTACTTTTTATTAGGCTAGTTTATTTATGTGTTACAAGTATTCTGTCACGTGACCAACTTGCATAATTTTAAAATTTGTTTTCAGTGCTACAATGGGTTCTTTAATCTCTGTCCTCTGTATATAAAGTCAGTCTCACCTGGAGATGAAAGATATCTTAGAAATGACTTACTCTAACTTCTCTTCTTCTGTACAGAGAGAAACTAAGGGTTAGAAAAGAGTACGGTGAGTCCTAGAGCTAATTAATAAAAATGTGGAGCTAGAACATGGATCCACTGATGGCATTCCTTTTGGGGAATAACTTGTTACAGAGAGATTTGAATGAGAAGTCAGAAACTGAGCTTCAATACTAAATCACCCAGTTACTATCTAGATTTTAGCCAAGTACTCTGCCTGTTTGATGCTGCAGTTTTCTCATGCCTTAGAGAAGCCAAAGGGTGATTTTCTTTCAGTGTGGCAAACAGTGTATAAAGAACCTAGCTCAGGGGCCAGGGATGTAGCTCAGCAGCAGAGCCCCTACCTGGCGAGTGCAAGGGCCTGAGTTTGATTCCCGGTACCAAGAAAAAAAGCCTAAGTCAGTGCAGGTAAGGGGCGCTGAAGATAGCCATTATCTTAACATTATTGTTTTCATTGTAGTAGTGTGACTTAAAGATGGACAAATTAAGGAAAATTTATCATTACCACAGGAAGAGGGTTCTGATGATGGGGCATCTACCATCACTGGTGTCATCGTGCTGAAACGCAGATGTATTAAATTAACATAATGTGAAAAATGCACTACCTTTCTTACATACTAGAATTTCTCAGGAGGCCTGTACATACTATGATTGCGGTTGTTTTGTGGGTTTATTTTTTTTGAGATGGAGTCTCGCTATATAATTCAGGCTGGCCTTTAACTCGCTATATAGCAGTCCTCCTGTCTCGGCCTCCCAAGTGCTGGGATTGCAGGTGTGAGCCACCACACTCAGTTTTATGGAAAGTAATGTGGTTTTATTTTTCAAAATAGTTTTAGGTGAAAGGGTTTAAATCTTCTGATTTTATCGTCAACTGAAACTTGGTTTTCTGCTTCTTCCTCTAGGATGAATAGTTGACTTATTCATACCCTACCTTACCTTAAGCATCCTCCAAATTTCTACTGCTGTGATACATGCCGATGGCTTTGCCGTTATCCACAGTCAGAACTGTGCCAAATCTATCAGTGGAGTAATCCAGTCCTTACACCCGTAACTCAGTCTCACACACACGTGATCCGGCCACCTCCGCAGCACGCCGCCTGTGAGAGCACGAGGCCTTAGGAGGACATCTAGATATACGCTGTAACACCAGTTTTTTATTTCTTATTTTTTGTGGAGCTGAGCTGTGCCCCCTGCCGAACCCCACATTTTGTTTGTCCATGCATCTAGTGATGCACGTACGGGCTACTTCCACCCCTTGGCTTCTGTGAGCAATGCTGGTGTGAAGTGAGGGTGGGCATGTCTTTTCCAGATCCTGCTTTCAGTTCTCTTGGAACATACCAAACGGGATTTCTGGGTAGTATGATTCAATCCGCATGTGTCCACTGTGGAAAACAGTATGGAGTTTCCTCAGAAAATTAAAAATTGGGTCTTTATACAAAGATCAAATTTAAAACTGCAAATTTGTCATTATTACTTTCTCCTAAAGGATAGTAAACATGGTTAGAAGACCTAAACTGTTACGTACTTAAAGTGAATGTTTTCTTTTTGAAAAAGTATTGATAACTGAAGTAACTTACGAGTGTGTTTAAGTACTGGCACCGTTCATTGAAACACGAGTTATAATATTAATGTCAAAGCATTTCTGATTGGTCTTATAAAAGTCCTTGTTTCCTTTCTTCTCAGGTTATTCTGGACTTTATGAAGCCATTGAAAGTTGGGATTTTCAAAACCTTGAAAAGTTAGAGGACCACAGAACACTTCTGAGACGGTTAGAACCAGAATTCAAAGCCAGAGTTATTCCAACGGAAATCCTCCCTGAAATAGCTGAATGTTTAATCGCTCAGGATTGCGAAGAAATTTGGCAGGTAAGTTAACATGAAATATTAGGTTCGGAGGAAGTAATAAGAATATGGGAAATATCCTGTTTTATACCAAAGGAGGAAAAACACACAAACATGCTCATATCTAAGGAATAGTTACCTGGAGTTATTTCAGTTAAAATTACCGTACTCTCTGAAGTTTTATTTAAATTTAAATAAAATTGTATAGTTCATCAAATAAAAAGAAAAGAGGGTATAGACAAGCAGTTAAATATGTAGGCTCTCGTCACATACAAATTCTAGTGAAACGCCAGCCCAGCTTGGAGTGCCGTGATCCTGGGCAACTTATTCACCTTCTTTAAGCTTCTGTCTCTGCATTCATAAAACACAGGTAGTTATAGTACATTAATATGGTAATTTCATAAGGGCTAATGAGAAAATATGTGCGAAATGCTTACGTAATAAGCCTGGAATATAATCATTGCACAATGAGCTTTAGTTACTATGATTTTTTTTTTTTGTTGTTGTTGTTGTTGTTGTTGTTTTTGTTTTTTTCCTGTACCAGGAACCAAACTCACGACTTTGCACTTGCCAGGCAGGCGCTGTGCCTCTGAGCTAAATCCCCACCCCCCTAGTTAATAATGAAATTCATGTAAATCCCTGCACCCTGAGAAAACCATTGAGCATTTTGTTGTATCCTTACAAATATCCCTCTTTGGTAATACGTCCATGTGTGAATGGCTGTGAGGTGGATTATTTTCCTAATGTTGTGGATGATGCTGGATTTAAGAACTAAGAGGAGACAACAGAGCTTGGCTTGACGTGATGATATCAAGATGCTCAGCCTGGGAACACAGCGAGAGAGACCCTGACCGAAAAAGGATGGGGTGGGGGCTCGTAAAAGGCCCTGGATTCAACCACTAGTGTTACACGCAGAAGAAGAAAAAGACAAGACAGTGTTGAATGGGGCAGAAATGATAACTAATACTCCCTGAACCATAACTTACAGTGATTTTAAATCAAATAGTATTTGAATTGATACTTCCGCAGTGAAAACTCGTAGAAGTGTTGGAATACTTGGCCAGCGTCTGCATTTGCCTTGCTTAGGTTTGCGCCAGTAAGGGGCCCATGGCAGGTGCGGAGAAGCTGGCCGAGTGCCTTCTCAGATCTGACAAGGAGAACTGGCCCAAGGCTTTGAAACTTGCTTTGGAGAGAAATGGGAACATCTTCAGTGAACTGTGGATTATAGATGAAGGTAGGAGATTCCGAGGAAGAGCTCTGAAGGGAACCAGTAACAGGTATAGAAACACGCTGTGTCTCCCTCTTGGTTCCACCTGGGGCCTCCCTCATTCTACCCACTTTTACTTAGCATCAGGAGCACTTTTTCCTGACACGCGAGCCTCATTTTGAAGGCTGTGTCTGATAAACATCTGAATATCTCAGAGTTAGCTTTGCCTAGGTTTGTTTAGGTAAGTTGCTCTAGCCAGGTGCAGTGAAACATGCCTATAATTCCAGCTACGTGGGAGGCTGAGGCAAGAGGATCCCACGTTCAAGCCCAGCCTGAATGATATAGCAAGAGCTTGTCTGTCAACACACATGCACGTGTGTGCGCTCACACACACACACACACACAGGCACACGGATGAGGACGCAGCTCAGTGGCAGAGCACGTGCAAGACAGTGCCCGGGATTCATTTCCCAGTATCACTCGTCTAGTTTTTGGGACGGGTGTCAGCGGTAGAGGACATGGGGTCTGTTTGGTCAAGGTCTTTTCTTTAGTGTAAATATGAATCCCTTAGAAGGCTTGTTGAAATATAGAATCTGATTCCTAGGAGCTCAAGATTCATGTTTTAAACAAGCTCCTAAAGTTGCTGGTTCCGTGTGTCGCACTTTGAGTAATACCGTTCTAAATGACATTGGAATTCAAATACCAAATTAAAACTTCATACTCAACTGATTCTTTTATTTGTTTTAAGACGTGAAGGGTGTGATTGTGAGAAATCACAATACAATTTTAAAATTTTAGTGTTACAACTCTGTAGGGCTTTCACAGTCACAGCTATAGTCAGGTTGTGTTAATATTCTAAGATTTTTTTTATCCTCTAAAGGTGTGAAAGATGTAGAAATGAAAGTCATTGAGGATGATTCAATGGAAAATTCTGAAGTACAGATTTTCTACCGGGAAGATCCAGAAGAGCAGAGTCTTAGTCAGAGCCCCTGTCCACCTGCAGGTACCTGGCGTTGTTTTCCGTAATGATGCTTTTCATGTATTTTGTGTGGGGATGATTTTTGCAGTGCCTCAAGTTATAGCCTTATCGAAAGGCTTTTAAGGCAAAGTTAGAAAGAAAAGAATTTATATTAAATAGATCCTTTAGAAATATCAATGTTTTATTTCATGGCTATTGCTTCTATTCTTACCTTTTCTTAAGTCTTATTTTATCACTAAGCAGGTATGTACATATCTGTATTGAGAATGCAATTGGAGTTCTCCTGGAACCTTAATGTCCTGAAACCCAAAAGCAGCCTTTTGTTCTGAAAAGACGCTTCTGTTTGTGAGCTACTTGCTCAGTTTTCTTCCAAGATTCCGGGCTTGCTGTGCCAGCTGATGAGGTGTGTGCACTGCACAAACGTGCTTCGCTGAGATGCAGCCTCCGCTGGGTGCGAAACTGCATTGCACTTGTGTCCTCGGGGAGCGCCTTCCCCTCCCCCACGGCACTGTAAAAGTTAGCCGTGGCCCTGCGCGGTACTCGGATGGCTCTTGAGGGGTACATATTTTCATGGCTGCTTTATGCGGAGATCAGACGGTTGCATAATATGCCGCATTCATGAAAGAGTATCAAGAGGGGAATTAAGATTAATAATGGTGTTAGGAAACAAATAGGATTTTTAGGATAATATCATTAAAAGAAAATTTATAAATTTTCCACTGCAACTGAGTGATGCAAGTTTTTTGTCATTGTAGGATAAAATCAATCAGTATGTTGCTTTATTTCTACCGTGTAAAGATCTTTGCAAGTCTGAAGTGAAATTAATTCTCTTATTCTTTTAGAAAACCTCTCTTTAAAGTGAGTTGGTTCGGGGCTGGGGATTTAGCTCACCGGCACAGCGCCTGCCTGGCAAGCGCAAGGTCGTGAGTTTGATTCCCAGTACCGGAAAACCCCCCGCCCCCGGTCCCTGAAAAAATAAAGTAAATTGGTTCAACTTACTAAATGATTTTCAGAGTTTTTCCTCCTTCATAATATTTTATATATATACGTTTTGAGATAAAGAGTACTTTTTTAAAATTTCTGGTTACATTGAGAGAAAATAATTATTTGAGAGCCCGAAGAGTCAAAGCGTGGCTTCAGTAAGAAGTTGCTTTGAAAATCCAACATTAATAGTACAGTTTTCTTCATCAGTCATGCAAGGATCTTTTGTTGTTTGGTTCCGAACGCTGTTTTCTGAATGGCAATTACCTCTCTTGCCCTGAATTAGACCATGCTTGCTTAACGTTACTAGGCTTTATGATTAAGAAATGATCCATTATGTTTTCCCCCCTTTTTGTCATTGATACTGTCTCATCGAATGAGAGAGTTCTGTTCTTCCTGTCAGTGAAGAAGCTGGACTGGTTGTAAGAGACAAGATGTGAAACCTCAAATAAGGCCCTTGTGACTTAGAATCAGAATTCATGTTTATTAGACTATAGCTTTTGGGATGATTCCTCAGAGCAGTAACTGTTCGGTAATTCTGTTTCTTTTGTCCATTAGAAATGCCTTCTACTAACTTGTACAGCCCTTTGAAACCAAGAAATTACCAGCTAGAGCTTGCTTTCCCTGCTAAGGAAGGAAAAAATACAATAATATGTGCTCCTACTGGTAAGCCAATTGCCATTACTATGTGATTTGTTTCTTCCTTTGCTTTTCTTTCATTGAATGAAAGTTTCCATTTTTTTCCTGTTTCATTTGTGTGTGAGAGAACCACCTTGTACATATAGTCTCAATGTATTTTAAAAGACATGAACATTGACAATAAAACACTCTTTTTGCTTGCTCTCGCTTCTAGCTATTTAAGTATATCTTACATAAGTAAGGGATGTTTTTTACCAGTAGTTTAAATTCTGTAGTTATTAATCCATCACATGAGCCATTTACTTGTCACCCTGAGGGTGTGAGAAGAGCCAAAAGAAACACCTCTGTACAGAAAGGCGAAGATAATACTCGTTTCATGTTTCCCTTCTCTTTATGTATTAAAAGGTTGTGGAAAAACCTTTGTTTCACTGCTTATATGTGAGCATCACCTGCAGAAGTTCTCACAGGGCCGGAAGGGGAAGGTTGTCTTCTTTGCCAACCACGTCCCCGTGTACGAACAGCAGAAGACGGTGTTCTCCAGACACTTCGACAGACTTGGGTAGGCGTGACGCTTCCTCCAGCTTCCTTTCCTAGCTTCATCTAGCTAATGTGTTTTCTGCTTTGCTTTTTAAAAGGTATAATTTTTAAAATTTCATAGTAAATCCAGCTTTTTAATATAATCTAGATATAATTCCTTTATGGATTCAAATCTTTTTTGTTGGAAATATATACCAGAAATCTAAACCCTCTTGATTTGGTCTTATAGGGTAACTGAATGACTTAATGGATAACTGATACTTAAATGGATTTAAATGTATATGATTTTTTTCTTTTAAGTATGCTTTTCTCAGTGACTTGAAAAGTTATGTATTTATTTGGTCAATTTTCATTATACTACGAGAAAATGCTCTTTGGTGTTAAGAAAATAATGTTTTAAAAAATAATAATTAGTGGGAAAAATTACCGGTATGATGTTTTGTGCTTTCAATGCCGGCACAGATTTGGGAACATACCGAGAATGAAGTTATGGACATCTACAGGTGAAAGGTGCAATTATATTTTGAAGAAATCTGTCCTTGTGATTAGAAATAGCTTCGAAATGAAGTGAACTAATTGGAGGTCATAGCTGCTTTTGTGAACTATCCCAGGGGGATTGTTATCTCCCTCCCCTTCCCCTATATTACTAAGAAATCAGCCTTGTATATTTATATTACTATGAATTATAACTAGCTTGCATTTATGAGTCGCTTGCTGTGTGTCAGATTTTGTGCTAAGGACTTAACTAGTCATCTATATCGTTAGAAGGAACTTCGTCAGCTGCTCTTCTGACCCAGTGCTGTATCTTTTTGTCTCCTCCTTCACCGCAGGGTGGGTAATAGGGAATCTCTTCTGTTTCCCAGGTACAGAGTTACGGGCATTTCTGGAGCAACAGCCGAGAATGTCCCAGTGGCACAGACTATTGAGAACAGTGACATCATCGTTTTAACACCGCAGATTCTTGTGAACAATCTTAAAAACGGAACCGTCCCGTCACTGTCCGTCTTCACCCTGATGATATTTGATGAGTGCCACAACACCAGTAAACACCACCCGTACAATGTGATCATGTTCAATTACCTGGACCAGAAGCTCGGAGGGTTTTCAGACCCGTTGCCCCAGGTATCCCCACAGTCGGTGCCGTGCTCAGAGGCGCTGCCGGCTTCCTGAGTCCTAGGCATGCGCGCTCGTGGCCACGTCTGAGCTCGTCCTTCCCGGTTACTAAATCCGTATTATTACAGCTCCCTGATCAGTCTTCATTCATTCCTCATTTATTCACTAACTGTCCTTTGGTACCCGTAGATAGCAAAACCAGAGGTACTCAAATTTCCTCTATAAAATGTCATTATATTTGCATTTAACCTATACATTCACCTATATACTTTAAATAATCTCCAGATTACTTATAACACCTAATGTGTTGTAAATGCTGTGTAAATATAATTGTTATGCTGTATTGTTTAGGCAATAATGACAAAGAAAAAAGTTTCTCCATGTTCGATGCATATAAAATTTTAAAAAGTATTCTTGACCCATTGCTGGTTGCATCTGCAGATGCAGAAACCGTGGCTATGGAAAGTCGTCTGTATGTGCCATGTGCCTTAATACTGTTCTAGGCACTTGTGGTACAAGTATAAAAAAAGATCCAGCCCTGGCCCTCAAACAGGTAAATATTCACGGAGAGCCAGATACACAGAAACTGTATCACAGTTTATCATGATGGTATGTTGTTGAGATAAGATCTGCTGAGAATTGCAACATACTGACAAGAGAGGGAGTGGAGAGGATTTGAAATCAGCGGAAGAACCGAAATCAGGGAGAACGGAAAGGGAATACTGAAGAGTTCCTTGGGAACGTGGCTGGCTCAAGTGAGGCTGGGAACCATGAATGTACGGTATGTGTGTCTGTACATGGTACGAAGTTCTGCAGCCTTCATAGCGACCCGTTTAGGAAGTGCAAGTTAAATGTAGTACCGTGCCCAGACAAAAACGTTCCCTTTTATAGTGGTCACATTTCTTACAGCCTGTTCATTTGGAATAGCTTCACTGGTAAGTAGATTCCTTGCTGATGAATTGATTATTCAGTAGTTATCGACTGGCTGTTAGTGGGAGTTACCTGACTGATTCTTCACTGCTATCCTTTGAAACAGATGTTGTTTCCCACACGAACACAAATTGGAGGTTCTTGTCCAGGGACGTCCAGCCAGTGCGACGTGGCCTAGCCTGGGGCTGCATCTGGTTTTAGTCCGTTTCCTTTCCTGGGTGTTGTTCTCCACGTCCTAGTGAGCACAGAACTGCAGAGAAGAGAAGCCCTGCCTGGAAAGGGCTTCGTCGCACTTCCTGTGCTGATGGGTATTTAGCCGAGGAGTTGTGACTCTTGCACTTACGCAGTGATTTGCTTGATGGGACCTTTCTTCTTGCAGTGCCATAGAGACTATTAGAAAAAGTTAATGTCAGAACACGCTTTATAGGTCATCGGGCTGACTGCGTCTGTCGGTGTTGGAGATGCCGGGAACGTAGAGGAAGCCATGGCCCACATCTGCAAGCTGTGTGCTTCCCTTGATGCTTCGGTGATAGCGACAGTCAGAGAAAACTTGGAGGAGCTGGAGCAAGTGGTTTCTAAGCCCCAGAAAAGTAAGCGGGTGCCCGGTGACCAGCCTCTGGGACTGTTACTCTCTGCTAACCCTACCTGTGCCGCACCCTTTCTTCGTTCGACCCTGTATCTGTTTAGTAGGAAATGTTTAAACCCAAACTTAGGATGTAGCCACATTGCTAGTTCTTCCCTAAATTAGGTGTTTTCCTGTTAATGGGTGAACTGACCTGTAAGGAGCAAGCATTCCTACACTTCTGCCCCACAAGATCTCTATACAGGTGCTAGCGAGACAAAAGAGGTGATGAGAAAATCTAAGCACGTAGGTGGCCAAAGGCTGGGTCCATGCTCCGTGCCTGAGGCAGACACAGCGTGGTCATCGCTGTCTGAATGTATATCGGATAATTAGAGCTGACATGACCTGATTTTATGGTATCCATCCTCAAAAGGTCAGAGAATGATTTTTGAGCTAAAATCATCTAGCGGTGTCTGCTGACTTCATTATTATACTGGCCCTGCAAGAGACCAAGGGCTAGGGAACTGTGTATGACTTCGTCCTACGAGTGAGAGCGCATGGCCGCGCAGTACGCACGAAGCGGGGAAGGAGCGCGGCTGAGTTCCTCTCGAGGACTTACCCGTGAGGAGTCGGCGCCCCCTCCCGGCAGACCAGATAACCCTCGCGGGCCGCCTTCCTGGGGCACCTCAGGCAGATCGTGTGCTTCCTTCCTGCGGTCACCCGCCCGGGCCGCCCTTGGCACAGGCCTGCTCTCGCTCGCTCTCTTCTTCCCGTATTTACCCCCCGCCCCCTCCCAAGACAACGTATTCCTTTTCCTGTGCTCCGTGACGCCTTGCACGGACAGTGTTTACATTATAGCACTCTGATGTCGGTGGTGGGCTCCCTCTTTTTCTCTCCTGTAAGAGTGCAGCCCTCTGTGAAGCCTGGGGTGTGTTCTTTTCAATTCTCTGTTGCCCGAGCATGGCACATCATAGGCAGTTAGTGAGTTTTTGCTGAAATAATACAGTAGTCAGTGTTGGGGTCAATGATGAATAAAGGACCAACTGGGATTAGGTGGGGGGAGAGAGTAGGAACGCTCAGAAGCAGCTTGGCGGTGGCAGTTACACACGAGGGCTGCTCAGCCTGTCGGAGCAGGGCGCAGGAAAGCCGCAGCGAGCAGCTGGCAGACCGAGGCCTTGGAGCACGCTGTTGTCAGCAGCGGAGCGATCAGCTGGGAGTTGTTGCAAGTGTGTACCGTACTTGTGTGGTTCAGACCACCTGCCAGGGAGCCGGAACCTGTGGTTTTCCAGGGGAAGTAACGAAGGCAGAGGAGAGTTTGATATCTACATCGAGTGATGGTCTGTCCTTCCCCAAAAAACTCACTTTCCTTTGATGGCTCTAGTTTCCAGGAAAGTGGAACCACGGACTACCAACAGATTTAAACTGATTTTATGTCAGCTGATGCAGGAGACAGAGCATCTGGCAGAGAATGTCTCTGAAGAACTTGGTGAGTTCCGCTGTAACTCAGTGAGATCAGTCTCGTATTTTGTATCCTGTCTACTTGAGAACAGCCATACTTTGTTCCCTGATGTCTGTTTTGCTTTGTTTGGGTTCAGCCCGTAGACAGATGTGGACTTCCTTGATTATAGGCTCTTCAGAAGCCTTCTTTTGCCTTTTTCCTTTGAAAATCCAAAGTAAATCCACCTGGACCTGTCCACCTGAAAAATAGGGTAAAAGTGTCAGTTTATCACGTCTTGGCCATCTGCATTAGCGTTCAGTCTTCACTTAGTTATATGGCGTGAAACCCCCGTTCCTCTGTTGGTTCAGATTCAAACCAGGGGGTGAACTTCGATTCTTCTTTTGAAACTTCTTCATGGTGTCATCAGGTTCAGCCCTCCCCTTTATTCTGTCCTTCACAGAACATTTGTGGTACCATGTGCTGTGGAAGGCAACGAATGCTCTGAGACCGAACACATAGTCCTGCCCTCGGGAAGCCCATCGTCAGTCGGTGGGAGCCAACGCAAAGAGCTTCCCTGTGTCTGGAAGTTACAAGCTGGGCAGCGGGAGCGCGTGGGAACTTGGTCCTGGGTTGCGTTGCAGGGCAGGCGTTCCAGAGGAGCTGATACCTAAGACAGCCTTGAGGAAGGCGACCAAGCTGAGAGATTGAAGGGAGGCAGAAGGTTCAGCAGGCGAAGAGGGAAGAGAGAACACAGTGAATTTTAGGAGCTGTGGGCATTTCTTGGTAATCATTTGAGTTGTGGAAAAAAGTGAAATGAAAGAGAGAGAAAAAAAAGAGAGTGGGGGGTGCTTCCAGGAAAGGCCTGGTTGGCCAGCCTGCATTTGGATTTTATTCTAAAAGCACGGGGAAGCAAGTGAGTGTTTCGGACCGGTGAGTGCTGTGCTGTGTAAGGACACCAGTTAACAAACAGGGCCACACAGAGGCAGGAGCGGCGAGCGGGACAGGGCAGGAGGGCGTGCGCGGAGCTGACGCGGAGCGGCGAGGGGACAGGGCGGGAGGGCGTGCGCGGAGCTGACGCGGAGCGGCGAGGGGACAGGGCGGGAGGGCGTGCGCGGAGCTGACGCGGAGCGGCGAGGGGACAGGGCAGGAGGGCGTGCGCGGAGCTGACGCGGAGCGGCGAGGGGACAGGGCGGGAGGGCGTGCGCGGAGCTGACGCGGAGCGGCGAGGTCGAGCGGCTGGCTGGGTCCGAGGGGGAGAGAGACGGGCGGGACGCGTGATCTCCCGAGACTCTGGGCGGGCGTCTGTGTGGTCAGGAGGAGGTACGGTTCCCGGACCTGGAGCAGTTTCGGCAGGGATAAGGTGAGTTCAGAGTTTCGGAGGTGTTGAGCTTGTGATACCTGCAAGACACTGTGGTGTCTCTCATGCTTTGCTTTTCTCCTTTTCTCTCAAAGCTTAAGACCTGTTCTTACAGTTGTGGGGCTGGTCTGCCCGCTCTCACTGCCTGTTTCTCTTACTGCCCCGTTCCCCGGTTAGCCCTCCGGAGTTGTTCAGTTGCATCGTGTATGTTGCCCAGAGGACCCCCTGACAGCCGGAGCTCTGCCTGGACGGTCTAGTTCGCTTACCTCTCTGGCATTCATACCCACCTACTTGAGCTCTTCTATTCAGCAGCTCCTCAAGCATATCCATTCATTCCTTCAGTTCTAGGCAGTGCTAGGTGTTGGGAATTCAGTGTAAACCTGGAGACATAGTTCCTGTCCTCCTGGCGTGTCTGGATAATGGGAAAGCCAAAATAAATAAATAATAATGATGAAGCGTGTTCGGTGGGTGAGTGGTGGTGATCAGGTTTGCTTCAGGCAAATAAACAAAGGTTTGTTTTGTACTGTGTGTGCACAGGCCAGAAGACTAGAGAGAATGTGGGAAATTTCGTTAGTCTTGTGCGATGCAGGTAAACAAGTGGCCAGACGTAAGAATGAGAAGTGGGCAAGGCCAAGTCACAGAAGATCTTGTCCGCCCCGCTGAAAGAGTGTATTTGGTTTTTTGTTCCAGTGATGAAATACCTGGGGCTGGGCAACTCAAAGAACAGACGTTTATTTAGCTCACAGTTTGTGAGACTGAAAGTTCCAACAGCACGTCAAGCTTTGGGGAGGGCCTGGTCGTGGATGGCTTCCCCGGGGGAGCATGTGAGAAAGGAAGGAGGGGCGTATTCTTCCACAGCACTTTCACACTAACTAGCTGGGATTCCATGAGAATTACTCATCCTCTCCAAGGTCAGGGCCCTCTAATGGCTAATAACCTACAAGGTCCATTTCTTAAAGGTCCTGCCATCTCACTGTCACCTCAGCTGAGACCACTATTCAAACATGAGCTTTTGGAAGGCACTTAAACCATAGCACCATGGAGGGGTTTGGCCAGAGAAATCCACTAAAGGCTTTTAAGTAGTGGGATACCCTAGTTCCTCATCTGTGGTTTCGGAAATTCCTTTACTGGCAGGAGGTAGATGGATTGAAGAAATAAGCAAGGGATAGGGAGACCAATTAGGAGGTTGTCAGATCATCCAGGAACAGTATGACGTTGGTAACGTTGCAGAGGGATGCAGAGGTGGTGATAAAGTCACGTGAATTTCTACTTTATTATTCGTGTCACCCTGTCGGGTGCCTTGCCTTTACCTTTATGCCAGTCCGAATACTGCATTCACAGAGGTGTGTTAGCCCTGGAAGTGACCGACCCTACAGCACAGCTACTCATTTCTTAATTGCTCACATTATTTGCACACGTACTCGGGGTCAGGACATACTTGCCGGTTCATCTTGTTTATTCCTGGCTGCCTTGTTTGTCGCTGGAGCTGCAGAAGAAGCACATCAGTGCTGCTTGTTTGGGTCTGCTCCTCTGCTCCTCTGCTCCTCCTCTTAAAAATGAGTGGCTGAGGGAAAGGTTTCAGCCAGAAGTACAGCTCTCCTATAAATTTCACTGTCCTGTGCTCAGCATGAGCAGCGGGGAGAGCTGACTCTCGAGTAGCCCCTAGAATAGGTCCCTTGCGAACAGGGCCGACCGGGCCTTTCTGGCCTGTCCCTCACGTCCACACGTGTGGGTCACAGCGGAGCCCCGATGTTCAGCCGAGCGGCTGAGGCGTCCCTGAGAAGGCGCACGCGCACAGGCGGATCCACGGCAGACAGAGGGTGTGTTAGCACCGGAGATGACTGACCGCACCGCGCGGTGAAAACACCTCTTTCCTCCCCAGGCTACCTGTTTCGAATTCAGGATAGAGTGTTTGGAACACAGAAATATGAACAGTGGATCGTCGCGGTTCACAAAGCGTGCATGGTGTTTCGGGCGCCAGACAGAGAAGAAGAGAGCCGGATTTGCAAAGCCATGTATCTGTACACGTCCCACTTGCGGGTATGCCACCTCTGGAAAGGTGTTTTGGGGAGAGCATCTCCGGGGCGCTGAGAGAATGCCAGCTTCTCCCTCTGAACCAAGGGCTCACTTAGGGACTTTGAAGTGGGCCCTGCCGCGATTTCTTAAAGCACGCGCGTTCTTACTTTTGGTAAACTGCGCTCAGATACCCAGGGTATGTGATTAACCAGGATTGTAGTAACTTTTATTTTTTTGGAACAGTGTCTCGTTATATAGTTCAGGCTGGCCTGGACACCCTCCCGCCTAGCCCAACCGTTCTTGTAGTTGAAAATACTTAAAAATGCATTCAATTAGCATGTATTTACCTCAGTTGCGTTTCAGTGTAGGTCGTCAGTACCGTCATTCTGAGGGATACGTTTACAATTTAGTGATGACTTTGGCAATCAAGTCGAACAGCTTAGTTATCATACAGGTTTAGAGTAGAAGTTATCTGCTTTGTTACTGCTTTTTATGACATGTTTTTCATGTAGTTTTCTCATTGCCACGTTGGAACTCTAAACTTCAAGGTGATTCTCATGAATGTTTCTAGCTAATTGAGATTTTTAAGAAGAGTATTGTATAGCTCCAAAGTTTTATTGTAGAACCAGTAGGGGCCGTTCATCCTAAAACCTCAATTGGAGTAAACGTGAACATTTTCTTGAAAGTAATTACTTACCAAGTACAGCTAATGTGTTGATGTTAAAAACATACTGAAACTCAGTTTTCATTTTTACAGAAATATAATGACACCCTCATTATCAGTGAGGACGCGCAAATCAAAGACGCTTTGAATTACCTGAAGGATTTCTTCAACAATGTCCGAGCAGCAGCATTTGACGAGACTGAGCAAGATCTTACTCGGAGGTTTGAAGGTGAGGACTGTTTTCAGAACAGGGAGCCTTTGGAGTCATGCTCGGGCAGTTGTCCTGGGTTTAAGAAGATCTAAAGACTAAACCAAAATGACCCATTGTCCTGTTGTCCTGATATTATAAAAAATACAGAAAGATATTAAATGAAAAGGAAGTTTTCCTCCCTTTTCTCTCCTCAATTCCTTCAAAGGAATCATGGTAATAATTTTTTGATCTATGCCAGAGGATTTAGTATACATACGTGTAAGCAGGGGTGTGCTGGCAAACATTTAAACAAATAATTCTCTGGGAAACTTGTATACATACGTATGCACAAAGGTATTACAAGTTTTATTGATTTTTTGAGGCCGTCTATGATCCTATAGTACACAAATTACAAATAATAGTAAATACAGTATTATTTATTGTAAATTCTACCTAACTGACTTGTATAGAATGCTTTAGTGATTTTGCAGAACACATGTTATCCATAAGCAGTCAGTGATTGCAGTGGACACACAACCGTAGTTCTGCTACGACTGTCAGTGTATATTTTTATTAATGTCAGAGCAAGGTGAAAATGAAGCAGCCGAGATGTACATTGGAGTTTTACTTGTTTGTAAGTGAGGTGAGCAACTTATTCTGCTAAATTAGATAGTAGTTTTTCAAATGCCTGTAGACTATTTCCTCTTTTTTTGGTTACTAGTTACAATTGCACAGCTGAGTTTGATCCGCATTATTTTTTCATGTAAGTCTAGACTGTCCACAGACAACAGATACAAGGACAATTTTTAGTCTTTCCTCAATTTCTTGGTATAAATATTTCCATTATAATCAATCTCAGGCCATCGGCATGATGCAAAAAGATGAGCAGTAACTCGCGATCCTGTAGTAGTTCTACCCCACCAATATAAGAGGTGTAAATAACTCAGGAGAAGAGAGAGTAGGAAAAAGTAATAGAATAACTAGGAAACAAGTGTGCACTATTACATTTGTTTTTAATGTGTCAATGAGTTGAAAATGTGTGTAACTGAATTTTTAATAGTGATTGTATTCAGGACAGGCTCACATAACTCAGAAATGTCACAGTTGATCATTACCATCGGTCCGGTATGTTCTGGCTCCAGCACACCGCTGCTATACACAAACATGCGCTTACAAACCTCATTTGCTCTAGGACTTTGGGAAAGAGGGCTGCGTTTGTGTCCATGCGGGGAAGATCGCTGTGTTGTATTTGTCACTCGGTGTGGACTTTGTGAGTGGAAGCAAACTCTTAGCACACGCTTTTGTTTGTGAACTAAATTGTTTGCACACAGAAGCGTTTGTGAACTGAGGTATTACTGCTTGTAATACTAAATGTACTGTCTTGTATTTTGATTTTTAACTTAAAATATGTTTAAGATCTTTCCATATCAGCGTATGTATTACTCCTTTATTAATTTTAACAATCACATTATAGTAAGGACAGATGTGTAGCCTATAAAGTTCCCCATCTGTGGGACATTGAAGTCATTTTCAGATTTTCTTTCATATTGTAAACCATAGTACTGTGAATATCCTTGGATATCTCTTCTTTAGTTTTGTAAATATAACTATATCTCAGATTATTTCAGTTTTATGTTTTGATGTATATTGCCACATATATACCTGTAAAAGATGGCACCAATTTAAATTAGTAGTTATAGCTCAGAAAATTTTGGCCAAAGATTGATAAGGTTAATTTTTTGAATTAAGGATCACAGTGTGTTCTGCATTTTTAGAATTTGTAAGTCATTTGTAAAGTGTTCCCTGTTTACAGAAAAGTTGCCGGAACTAGAACGTGTTTGCATGGATCCCAGCAATGAGAACCCTAAACTCAGAGACCTCCACTTAATCTTACAAGAAGAGTACCACCTAAACCCAGAGACGAGAACCATTCTTTTTGTGAAGACCAGAGCACTTGTGGACGTAAGCTTCTTTTTCTTGGGGATAGTAATTTGATCCAGTACCGTTCATTTCAAAGATTCCTCTTCCCTCACTGCTCTGCTGTCAAAGCATTCATATGTGTGTGGGACTGTTCCTGGGTTCTCTGTCCTGTACTGATTATCTGTTTGTTTATTCTCACACTAATACCTCCCTGTCTTAGGGAGGTATTACCTGCAGAGGAAGTGCTTCATCCTTTTATAAACTTTAGTCAGATTTTTATTTATTTGTATAAATTTTTATGTACACCTCTTAATTTTTTTTAGTTCCCCTCCCCTCCCCTCCCTCTATGTCTTGGTCCCTTCCTGTTGCAGAGGGTTTATCTATCTCCTATTACTGCCTTCTATGTTGCCTTGGGTTTCTCACAGAAGAGAAGCCATACAATATTGAAGCTTGTGTGTCTGATTTATTTCACTTAACATTATGGTCTCAAGGTGCATCCATTTTCTTAAAATGACTCAAATTTATCCTTATTTGTGGCAGAGCAGTATTTCATTCTATATAAATACATTTGCTCGGTCCGTTCATCTGTCGAGGGACATATTTAGCTATTATGAGTTATGCTGCTATAAACGTGGGTATGCATGTCTCATTGTAAGAGGATGTGTGTACCTCCTTCGGGAGGACACCTAGTAGGTGGAAGGGAATTGCTATTTTTAGTTTTTTGAGGAATCTCCGTACTCCTGTTCATAGTTTATACGAACTGTCGGTGGGGATGGAAACCTGTATGAGTTTATGTCCCCACCAGTAATACAGCGGGGCTCCTGTTGCCCTGCGGCCTTGTCAGCGTTTGTTCTTATTGGACTTACTGATGGCAGCTGTTCTTCCTGGAGTAAGGTGGGATTGCATTGTTGTTTTAATTTGCATTCCTCTAATGGTAAGCAATGTGAACATTTTCAGTGTAGTTAGTGGCCGTGTATACGTGCCACTGCAGCTTTGTCATACTACTTGAAACACTTGAAGTACTGGATAGTGATGCCTCTTGCTCTGCTCTTGTTTCCCAGAATTGGTTTTGTTTTTCTGGGTCTCCGCTTGTTCTGTATTGATTTTTTCTAGTTCTGGGAATGGAGTGCTTTTAGTATTTTGATTGAGATTACATTAAATCTGTGTATCAGTTTTGGTAGTATGACCATTTTGACAATGTTAGTTGTGCCTATCCCGAACAATATTGGTTTTGTCTGTCAGTCTTCTTGATTTTCGAGCACTGTAGTTTTTGTTGTAGAGGTCTTTCACTTTGGTTAAGTTAATTCTGGGCATTCATCTTTTTCTGAAACTATTGTAAATGTTTTCCCTACTCTTTTGCTGGGTTCATTACTGGTATACAGAAGCACTTTGACTTCTGTGTGTTGACTTTGCTCACTGTGCTTATTACCTCTAGGGATCTCTCGGTGGGATTTTTTGGATCTTCTGTGTAAAGGGTCATATCTGTGAACACAGGTAATTTGACTTCCTCCTTTCCTGTATCTGTCTTTTACCTCTCTTATTTGATAGCTCTGATGAAAGCGCTGAGTAGTATATTGAACAGGAGTGGTGAGAATGGACAGCCTTGCCTTATTTCTGATTTTTGAGGAAAAGTTTTTGGGTTTTCCCCATTTAATGTGATGTTGGCAGTAGATTTGTCATAAATGTCTTTTATCAGATTGAGAAAAGGTCTTTCTCCATTTTCAGGCTTTTGATCATGAATAGACGTTGGATTTCATCAGGGGCTTTTTCTGTGTCTGTTGAGATGATCACGTGCTTTCGTCTTTGCGTCTGTGTATGTGATGTGTTACATTCATTGATTTGTGTTTGTTGAACCGTCCTTGCTTCCCTGGAATGAGGCCTGCCTGGGCTCGATGTGTGAACTTTTCAGTGATGTGTTGCGCTGTTCGCTAGTATTGTGAGGAGCTTTGCCGCTGTGTCCGTTAGAGATTGGTCCCGGCATTCTTTCTTAGTTGAGTCCTTGTCTGGTTTTGGAATGGACGCAGTGCGAGCTTTCAGAAAGACTTTGGCAGTACTCCTTTCCTTTCAGTTTCATTAGAGAGTTTGAGGGATATTGGCTTAGAGCGTCTCTGAAGTTCTTATAGAATTCAAGAGCGAATGCATCTGGACCTGGGCTTTTCTTAATTGTAGGTTTCTTTTTTTTTAATTGCTACTTCTGTTTCATTGCATATTTTTGACTAATTCAGAGTTTTTGTATATTCATGGTTCAGTTTTGGTAATTCATATGTATCTAGGAATATATTAATTTCTTCTGGATGTTTTGGTTTATTGGAGTATAGATTTTCAAAGGAGCTACGAATAATCTTGTGGATTTTGGCAGGCCTCTTGTGATTTTGCCTTTTTCATTTATAATTGTATTGCTGTAGTCTTTTTTTCTTTCTTTTGGTAAGATTGAACAGGGATTTGTCTATTTTATTTGGTCTTGAGGAACCAGCTCTTTGTTTCATTGATTCTTTTCTTTTAATCTTAATTCCATTGATTTCTGCTCTGATCTTTATACTTGCTTCTTTGTACTAGTTTTGAAGTTGGATTGTTCTTGTTTTTCTAGGTCCTTGAGGTGCGTCATTAGGTTATTTGTTTGGACTCACTTTTATTTTCCGTTATGTGGACATTCACAGCTATCAACTTCCCTCTTAGGATTTCTGTCACTGTTTTCCATAGGTTCTGGTAGGTTGTACTTGGATTATCATTTGATTTTGGAACTAGTAATTTCGTGTGTAACCCATTTGTTATTTAAAAGTATATTGTTTAATATCCACAGGTTTGCATAATTTCCTTGGTTTCTTTTTGCATTGATTTCTAGTTTCACGGCTCTGTGACCTGGTAATATTCACAAGATAACTCTGTTGCTTTTGTATTTACTCGAGCATGCTTTGTGTGCTAGTCTGTGGTGTGTTATGGAGAAGGTAACTACTGCTGAGAAAAAGGTGTATTCTGTTGTGGTTGGGTGGAACACTCTGTAGCTCTCTATTAAGTTGGAAGGTTTCGTTCAACTCTGGTATTTCTTCGTTGATTTTTTTTTTTCTAGTTGATCTGTCTGTGACTGTGAGGTATTGAGGTCCCCACTACAACTGTGTTTGTGTTTATCTGCTCATTTGTGTCTCATAGTGTTCGTTGCTTGAAGCTGGGTGCATTGATGTGTGGTGCATGGATGTTTATAATTAACTTCCCGTTGAATTGTTTCCTTAAGCAATATGTAGTGACCGTATTTGCATCTTCTAATCAGTTCACTTCATCTGAAAGTAGGATAGTTACTCCTTTTTTTTTCAGGTTCTCACTGCATGAGATACTGTTTTCATCCTTTGCTTTTCTGTGTGTGTATTCCTTTTTTAATTAAACGTTTTTCTTCTATGCAGCGCAGTGTTGGTTTTTGGTTTTTGTTCGTGTTTGCCAGAGTGTCTTGATTGGGGAACTGGGACCATTCCTATTTAGAAGTATCACGGAAAGTTACGGACTTATTCTTGTACTCACATTATTTTCCCGTTGCTCCCCTGGTTTCCCCATTCTGCTTAACTGCTCATCTTACCTGATAGGTTCATTCTACTGGGCTTTCTGGCATTACGGATTTTATCGTGTCTTTCTAGAATATCCTTGAGAATTTTTATAGAGCCGGTTTGCTCGTCATGACTTTTTAGAGGTGCCCTTTGTCACGGAAATGCATTAGTTCTCCATCAATTTGGATATTATTTTACAGGATAGAATAATCTGGGTTGGAAGCTGTTTACTTTTAGGGCTTGAAACACATCATTCCAACAAGCTCTCCTGGCCTTTTAAGTTTGTTTTGAAAAGCCTGCTGTAATTCTGATGGTTTTATGTTTGTAAGTGAGTCATGACTTTTGTTGGACGGAAAGATTCTGTCATTGTGTTAGACTTCTGGGAGTTTGACAGTGATGTGGGGATATTCTTTTCTGATCATGGCTGTGTCACTCATCTGTATGTTTATTCTTTACCAGTACTTGGAAGGTTTTCTGCTAGGATTTCTAAAACTTCTTTTATGCCATTCACGCCATCTTCTCACAGTTCACGAGTTCCCTTTAATCTGAGGTTGGTCTTCTTTGCATCATCTGTCAGCAGTTGGGCCCGTATCTTTTGTTAATGTTATGCCAGCTCAGACTGTACTGTTACCTGCGTCGGTCTGTCTTCTAGGTCTTCTGCTGTCCCCTCCCCCTATCACTTACACTGCCCATGCTTCGAACAGAATTCTTAACTTCCTGGGTTTTCGCTTGGTGCTTTTGCATGGACTCTAATTCTTTGCTGAACTATTTGTTCATGTTTTCTGTCATTTTGTTTAGCTCAGCTAGTGATTAATTAGGGTGTC